CTATTGGGAGAGGTTAGGGATTTTTCCTGAGTCCATTCTTTCCATATATTTCCTAAACCAAAGCTAAGATAACCGTGTCAGCGGCCGACTTACAGAAGCCTATCTATAACATGTTGGCACACAAGCTGACTTTAGATGTTAAAATTACAAAATTCTACTGCTTAGTTTTTAATTGTGTATATTTTGGTAGTTGCTTTCTCTCGGTGTGACTGGTGGGCTGCTGGGCCTGGATTCCTGGGCAGGGATAAATTAAGCACAGTGGAAAAGAAGGGCAGGGAGCAAAGGGGCAGACTGGCCTTCCATTCTTCTGGCTTCTTTTCTGGACCCCTGGACTTCTGTGTCTAGTTCTTATCTATGCAATTGGGATATGGGACAAGGTGAGCTTGACCAACCCTCTTGTGTCCACTTAATTATGAATCTCCAGGGAACATGGTGTCCAGGGTAGCCTTGTTTCACAGAAAGCCACAGTTAATGCACTTAGCTGGTCAGACAGTGGGGGACACAATAAATAGCCCAGGCCAGCATGGGAAGGCCCCCAAGCTATCAAGGACCTTTTTCCTGAAAGCTTTGACTTGGGGCAAGAGTTGAATCAAATGTTCTTTGTAAGCTATGTGGAAGTCATGTCAAGGCTAAATTTTCTTTTTCTGGCAGCTCTGTGGAGAATACTACACTATCTCCCCACAATAGCATAAATGTTTTCCCCACAATAGCATAAATGTATGTCTTATCTCTTGAATGTAGCCCAGACAATTAAGGGGAGGCAGAGCTGGAACTAGTCTCATGAGAAAGGCCAAACCCATATTACTTGATAACATTGAAGGGAGGGGAGGGCGTGACCAAGAATGACCACAGCACCAAGTCACACATCTTGACAGCTCCTGGTGCAGAGCTCTGCCTGCCTCTTTCTCACCAGTCAAGGACTTAGACCTGGGACCTCTGAGATATGAAATGGGAATTATACTTCGTGGGAGTGCCAAGGAGAATCCAACAAGTAGAAAACAGTTTTAAGGAACACCCATATTACTGACATCAGGACAGGTAGTGCCTGGTTCCTGCTACCAGGAATTTGATGTTTGTTCTCTTGTTGATTTTCATGTATATTCAAGTGTGTTCTTGCTCAAAAATCCCCATTGCTCCTGCTGGTTGAATGATTCATGGAGAATGTTGGCCCAAGTACAGTGCTGTTTCAGGGAAAATGGGCTCTAGGGAGTGAAAGGGGAACACAGACTCCTTGTAAGGCAGCGTGGCATCTGACACCCTCTGTGGAGAGCATGAGTAAGGCAAGGATTAAATGCCTCCTGGTGAATTCCACAGGGTGACATTCTGTACTCCTTCATGTCCTATGTCAGCAACACACAATGGCTGGGAAGGCAGGATGCTTCACGCTAACGGTTTACCAGACAAGGCTAGAAGAAATTCTTCTAAGAATCACTCTCTTTGAGGTACTTCTCAGCAGTTTCACACAAAACTCATCAACTAGAAGAATAAATATAAAGTTATCAACCCATCAAATGCAGCATACTTAGGCCTTGTGTTTTCATTTTGGATGGCAACTAACAAATTTGAAAGGGGACAGAAAAAGTTTTGAGCACTTTGCTTTTTTCAAGACAGGGTTTCTCTGTATATAGCCTTGGCTGACCTGGAACTTATTCTGTAAACCAGGCTGGCCTTGAACTCAGAGATCCACCTGCCTCTGCCTTCCAAGTGCTGGGATTAAAGGCGTGTGCCACCATTGCCCAGTCTTTTACCACTTTTAAATAAACATTTTATCCAAACTACTCTCAAGAATTGCCTTGGCCCGAACTCATACTGCCTATTCCAGTTGGAATAAACTTTATTAATAAATGCCAAATATTATCTTTCATAACTTATCACAAAATGATTTTCCTTTCAAACCAATGCTTTAAAAGTTCCTGTTAGTACATTTTTTTCCCTTTTTACTCATTTATTTTAGGGCTGGGGATTGAGCTTTCACACAAGTGAACTACCATCACGCTGTAGCTCCAGCTCCTTTGAGTTGTTTTGAGACTATAGTATCTCCTTTCTTCTCTTCTCTCTTTCCCTCTGCAGAATGACCCTAGGGCCCTGTACAAGGTAGGCAAGCATTCAATCCCTGAGCCTAATCCACCAGCCTGAGAATAAAATGTTCTCTAGAGAAATGTTTATAGAAGTTTGGGGGAGTAAGAACCTTACAGGACACATGTCACTTTGTTATGGCACTGGGGGTGACAGTTGTATGCTTGCAGGGACGTTGTCACTCAGAAATCCCTGGGAAGGCTGACCACAGCACACACCATATCCCACACTCTTGTGCTGTCTTCTTTGGCCACTGCACAAGGTGAACAGGAAAAGATCAAACCAGTGCAGAGCCTGGAGGGGACAGCACGAATAGGACTCGGCTGTGTTTGTCTGTCTGTGTTTGACGTATAGATGTGGAGGCAACAACTCTGTTACGGGTACACCACGGCCGTTGCTGGGTCGTAATTCAATTCAGAAAGAGAAAAACTGAGCTAACTAGTGTTTGGAAGGTACGTGCATGGCTCTGGCTGCAAGACTCGGTGTGTTTGGGGGGTACCCACAAGCCATGGGGACTCATCTTACATAGGCAGGCCTGAAACACACACAATACCCGGATGCTGCCAAGGGCAGAGGAGTTGGTGTAATCAATGACAGGTCAGCAACAGGACGTCAATTAGGGGGAGGAAAGAAGCAGAAACTAGGGTCCCTGAGCCAGCCCTGGCATGTAGAGAATGTTGCAGGGCTCTGGGTAGATGCAGCAGGTAGGCAGTCGTCCCCTAAAATCCCAGCCAGAGCCAACTGACAAAACAACCGGAAGAACTTAGCCTGGCTGAGACAGTGACTACACAGGACGTAGGAGCAACAGGAAGGGCTGTCAGTCACCCAGCCTGGAAATAACAGGACTACCGGCTCAGTCCAGGGCCCTGAGAGGCACATAATTCCCGAACTTAGGAACCATTGGTTGTTGTCCCAGACTCTTGACACCAGGCATGTACAGACATGTTTTCAAAGCCCAGTTCTGGTCTGCAGTGGCTGTTAATTTGATGCACTTTTCCAAGAAACCAAACAAGAACCCAGCTTCAGAACATGTGATGTCTGAAGGTTCTATTCTTGGCATTCAGAAGAGTAAACAGTGGCTTAGCTTTGGACTGGAGCTAAAGGCTATTTTTTTTTAAAATAGTTAGCTTCTAAGCAAAAGACAAATGCTCTGTAGCAGATACTTTCTACTAAAGTACTTTTGATTTCCTTTTTCAAAAATGTACAGGGACAATCATCAATCATTTAAAAGATATTAATAAAATCTATGTGTTTCTGTGTGAATATAACTTTGGAAAACAAGGTTCTCTATTTATCTGTTCAAGGTGAATGCCAAGAGGAGAGTGAAAGAAGCCAGAACTTTGGGATTTAGAGATGAGGGTGAGATGGGGAAGGAGGGATGAATAAGAAACCCAGGAGGAGGAGGAAACAGGAAGGAGAAGGAGAGGAAGAAGAGAGAGACCGATGCATATGGTGGGAGACAGTTCTGAAGGATCCAGGAAGGACATCAGTCTCAGGAGAGAAAAGGAAGGAAAGGGAAAGAGAAGAGGAAAAAGAGGGGCAGACAGAAAGAGGAGAAGACGAGGAAGAGGTGGAGCAGAGGAGCAGGAGAATAAAGGCAGCAAAGGAAAGGAGGGAGGAGGAGATTAGAAGAATAAGAATGAGGAAGACGAGGAGGAGGAGAGGAAGAGATAATTAGGACTTCAGCTACAAGAAAGAAAGCGAGAGAAAAAGGGGAGAGAGGGAGAGAGAGAGAGAGGAGAGAGGAAAGACAGAGAGAGAGAGAGAGGGGGGGGAGAGAGGAAAGACAGAGAGAGTGAGAGAAAGAGAGAGAGAGAGAGAGAGAGAGAGAGAGAGAAGAAAGGAAGCAGGTAAGGACCTGCAAGTGGGGTAATCCATTATTAGGGTGGAGCTGAGTCCCCTCAAAACTCCTATGTTCAAGCTCCAACCCTCAGCACCTTAAAATGTAGATGTATTTGGAGACAGGACCCAGGGAAGACATTAAATTAAGATTAGGCCCATATGGGGTTGAGCCAGTATCACCAGCGTCTTTAAGGAAGAAGTATGGACTCAAAGAAAGAAGTCACATAGGGAAGGGCTTCACCTGCAAGCTCAGGGGAAAGCCACAGGGGACCTGCCTGATCCTACCTTGGCCTAGTCCTTCCAGGTTCCATGGTGGTGAGAAAATGACTGTTTGAGTTGCCTGGTCTACAGGGTTTAGTCCTACCAAACCAATCATTTGTCAACCTCAGGGATGAAGATTTAATTTTATCCTCAAAGCTGACCCTGGAGTCCATCCTGTCTGGGATGAGTCCATTGTAGGATGGTGAGCCAGCATGAAAGGAGAGAAGGAGGAGAAGGACAGGAGAGGAGAGGAGGGGGAGGGATAGGAGGAGGGGAGAAGGAGGGAGGAGGACACCCCTGGGAAAGTTCTTTCCTGGCTGCATCCCTTCTCCTCTTGAGAGTTCTGCAATCCTCCAATGTGGGATAACTGCCTGTCAACATCATCTGTGTGGATAGCTTCTTATGGCCAGATGTCTAGTTTAGTATCTTTTCCTCCCTGAGAATCTCAGGTGCCACTTGGCACAGGTAAGTAACCCAAGCCAGCCAGTGTACCCCCTGCTCACAGTTCGAGGTTGAGGCAGCTCTGAGTGAGCAGGTTTCCCACATGCACTGAGAGGGCAAAGCCCAGTGTGATTTCCTCTCCTTGTGCACTGTCCTTCAGATGGCAGTAAGGGGCATGGGTGTCTATGACTGGTAAGGAAGATGCCTGAAGGCTGAGCTGTTAATCTCAGGCCCACACCATATGGGTACCATCTCTCTCTTCCAAGTCCTGTTCTTACTATGAGGACCACAAAGCATTATTCTCCTTAAGCTCCTGATGGTCATGTGACAGGCCCCCCTTCCCGTCTCTCCTGTTTGTGTTCCATCACCTGGGTTCTTACCTAAGACCCATTTCTCTGACAGGTACTGGATCCTTGCTTCCTTCTTGCCACAGTAGGGACCAATGATGAGGCTGGCTTGCTGAGGGGCTGGGCTGACTTGGCCACCACACAGGAGGACCAGTTCACACAGCTTGGCTCTTGGGGGGCTGCTGGCTGGTGCAATGAACATCTTCGGCTGATTTGCAAAGAGGGTTCCTTGGTACCGCTGGGTAGACAACTGGCGTTCAAGTCTGCAGATCTGTGGGTAGAAGGAAGGAAGTGAGTGGGGGCCGGAACTCACTCAGTGTGGAGAGCAGGTTAACAGAGAAGCTCACTTCTCTTTTCAAAAACAAATTCAAGGTAAGATTGCTGTATCAGTCAATTTCTGTCAATATGACAATGTATCCGAGGCAAACACCCATCTGGGAAGAAGGCTTTCTTTCGGCTCATGGCCTCAGAGATGTGGGTTCATGGTTTCTGTACTAACCGAGCACAAAATGGAGCAGTTAGGGAAAACAGCACACACCAGTGACCAGCCTTCTTCAACTAGTCCCTACCTCCTAAAAGCCTACTCAGTTATGAACTCATGCATAGATTAATTCTGTGATGAAGGTAGCATCTTCTCAACTTAATCACTTCTCAAGCAGCATGGTTAGCTGGAGATCAAGACTTCAACACACTAGCCTTTGGGGTCCCACTTTAGATCCAAACCACAAAAGCTATCCATTCTTGGATAAATTTTACATTCCCAAGACTCAAGAGGAAGATGATGTGGAAGATGTTTTTCAAAGTGGACCGGAATAAAACTATAGGAATACAAATGTGGATAAAAAAAATGGGTTGGCTTCTGAATTATCATAATCTTAAAGACAAAGTATTGAAGAGTAACCAAGTCCATCTTTGAGTAGTGCTGCTTAAGTAACTTGGAGGACTGTGCTGATGGGGGGGGGTAATCTACTGCTGGCATAGCCTTTGCCAACATTCAACTCTAGGGGTCCCCGGGTTCTTTGGCAAGTGACTAACAGATTCTAAGACTGTTTCAGATTGACCACCAGGTGAGATGGCAAAGGGACAGGAAGAGAATTTTCAAGGGCATTCCCCAGAGGGAGCAGGTGTGTATGTCGGGGAGGAGATTCTGGAAGATGTTTCAATTGAGTCATTATGAAAGTAGTTTGACAGATGTTTTAGATAGCATTTGAGAACAGACATGTGAAGCTGTACTCCCTTGTAGTTTGGTACAGTTGATGTGGCCATCTGGTTGACCCGAGGGACAATGGGAAGGCCCGTTATTTTAAATATGCTTTACTAATAACAGATTGATAGGGCTTTTTTTTTTTTCTTTTAAGTGCACATAGCCTTGGAGTTGTTGAGAGCTATGTATTTTAAATATTTTAGTCTGTTACCCCAACAACTGGGGTCAATGGCTCAGGGAACTCTTAAAAAGAGTAAGCCATGGTGGGCAAGAGACCCTGCAAACAGCAAAGAGTAAGTCCCTTAGTTTATACCTCATGATTTTCCACTCAGTTTGCAAACTACAGTAGTGTTTTGGTTTGTTTCAGAGACAGGGTTGTGCTGTGTCTCTCAGAGAGGCCTGGAATTCTTTTTCATATCCAGGGCTGGCCTCAAATTCCCTGTTTCCTATGTCTATCAACTGAGTGCTGAGATTATGTGAGCATGACCACACCTATCCCTAGTGTAAAAAGAAGGCCCTGCCATAAAATGTAGCTCCACTATCAGGGTGGTAGGGCCCACTTAATATACTTCAATTTAGTCATACATTTTCTTTTCTCTTCTTTTCCTTTGAATTTTATTACTAGGCATTGACAATGTGCCCACGACTGGCAACTGGCAGTGGTCCTATTATATCAGTGATTCTTTTACTAAAATGGTGAGGAGGATACCAATATTTCTGTGAGAAGGGCACTGGGACAATTTGTTAGATGAAGCAGCCCCAGAGGGAGCTACTCCACCTACATGGTGAGTCAAGTGCAAAGAAGAAACCAAGGCCACCACTATCCACCAAGTTGTTGAGCTGCTGGACCAAGCTACATTGAAATATGAGCTCAAGAAACAATATCCAGGGCATAGCCACATATTTCAAATAGTAATTATAAATGTGACTGGTGTCTGAAGCATAAGGATACAAAGTAAAAAGTCAGCATTTGTACATTAGGCATTGCTGTCTATTAATTCACCAAAGTCTTTTCTTCCAACATGGCAGGCAGGAAACATGGGTGCTATGAGGGTGTGCTACCTCTTATGCTCTGCTCAGGGCCCCTTTCCAGCCCAGGGAAACACTGGACTGATCCAAGTCAATCAAAGAGATCCCATTTCCTCTGCAGATGAGATATTCCTAGCCAATGTCATCGAAGACTAGGTGAGATTTGGAGGACGATTCCCTTACTATTAGGACCCCAAATGCCCTTTGGACTAAATGGTCATGTCTATGTGTGACACATGCAGTTATTGAGCCCCTGGGACATGATGAAAATGGATGAATGGGAAGATGGCAAGTCTAGGATCCTGAAGAGACTAAGTCCTGGACCAACCAAAAGAGACATACCCTTCTCATTTCCTTATACTAGAAAAACAATTCCAAGTGTGTAAACTACCTGCTTTTATTTTGCTGTGTATTTACTAACCTACTCTAAAATGCTAACACAATGAGCTACATATTTACAATGCAGTATTCCAAAACAACAAAAATCTGGGTTTGGTGGCACACACATGCAATCCCAACACTTTGAAGGTGGAGGGATGAGGATCAGGAATTCAAGGCCAGCCTCGGCTACACCATGAATTTGAGCCTGCTTCTGCTACATGTGACTGACCTTGTCTCAAATGACAAATAAAAAAATGGAATCAAGTTTAGTATCTTACAATATTACGAGCAGTAGGCAGCTTGTTTTTATTTAGGAAGAGGGGAATGAGCCTTTGACATCCCAGAATGTGGAGTTAGTTGCTAATTTCTTTGGCTAGTTATTATTTCCTCACCAAGCATGTACATTTGCCAGACTCACTTGGGGTCCCAGTGAGCAATAAGAAACGGGGTTCCCAACTTCAGATGATAATAGTAAAGTCAACAGGTTAAAATTTTCTTTTTGTTTATTTACATAGCTGGAAATGAGAGAAGGCACAGTGTCTAAAAAAAATCTGATTACTGCTAGCAGCTGGTGGCTCACGCCTTTAATCCTACTACTCTGAAGACAGGCAAGCAGATCTCTGTGAATTCCAGGCCAGCCTAGTCTACAAGTGAGTTCCAGGCCAGCCAGGGCTGTTACTCAGAGAAACCCTGACTTGAAAAACAAAACTCTGGTTATTTTTAGCACAATTGAGCATGCACAGGCACTGACTTTCTGTTGTGGTTTGAAAGTGAGGTGGCCACCATAGGCTCCTGAGCTTTTACACTTGGCCCCAGGCTGATGGCACTGCTTGGGAAGGCTGTGTGACCTTTAGGAGGTGGAGCCTTGCTGGAGGAAGTGGGCCACTGAGGGACTTTGAGGCTTTATAGCTGGGCAGCATTTCCTGTTTATTCTTGAATGCTGATACAATGTAACCCAATGTAACTGGGCCTCCCACTCCTGCTGTCAAGTCTTCGCCATCTGCTGCCATGTCTTCCCCCATCTTGATGGAATGACTCCCCTTGAACTTCCAGCCTTTACAAAACAAACCTTCCCCATTAAATAACTTGTCAAGTATTTGGTCAACATAATGAGAAGAGAAACTAAGACCCTCTTTCTGTAGTCAAGGGCATGAATGTAACAAGGAGTTTATTGCCATAGAAACTGCGATGACTGGCACATTTCACTTTTAATATCAACAGGGCACATCATTGTACACATGGCTAAGTTCTGGTGAGGCCCTTCCCTAAGTAAGGCTTAGGAACAGCCCTGTTTCTCAGGGCTTTCTGAAGACAGAAGTCCTTATTAGTTCTGGCCTTTCAGACTTTTTTCAGTTGGGGGCGGGATTAAAGGACGCACAGGGACCACTGCAGCACCGACCTTGGAGACACCCCAAGTCTCTGACTGCATGTGACCAAACTGCCTACCAGTCATTGATACTGCCTTGGGACCCTGGCCTTGGCTCATGCATTTTCCTTTCTAGCAAAGCACCATTCACCTGACGGGTACATTTTTAAAGTGATTTGAGAACTGCAAGGGCATACGCTATAAAAAAAGAAAACCAAGGAGCTGGCAGGGAGTGCTCCCTTGCTGTGCTGCCTCCCCATCCCTTCAGAGGCAGAGGAAGATCATATCCCAAGGGATCTTGTGCTGATTATTCTCAAAGCTGTCTTAATCCCCTTTGTTGCTACAATTCAAGGTACTTCCTTAACCTATAGTTTATTACAAACCACACACACAGACACACACATACACACAAACACACACATACCACATGTGCGTCACAGACATACACACACAGACATACACACGCACAGACACAAGACACACAGACACAGATACACACACAGAGAGACACAGACACATACACATACAAACACACACACAGACACACACACACACAAATGCACATACACACAGACACACAGACACAGACACGCACAGGTATACACACACACACACACACACACACACACACACACACACAGAAGATGCTGGCCAGACATGAGGGTGTTATGGAGGGAGAGAAGGGCCACAGAAATAACTGAACACTGACCAAAGATTTTCTGAGGAGATGGCATGTTGGTATTTAGGCATTTGGAGTTCTGACAGGATATGCCCTCAGCTGCTGTCACTAAGAACACCACCTGTGCATATTCACTATGTTCCCTTTTTAAAGGGCTCCGCCCACCTCCCATCCCCCCCTTTTCTTTCCTTCTCTCTGTCTGTTCCTCTCTCTCTTTCCCCCACTGCCCCTGTCGCTGGAGGCCTGTCTTCCCCTTCCCCCTTTTTACGATCCTTTTCCCTTAATAAACAACAACAACAACAACAACAAAAACCCTTCCACTTGAACTCTGTTATATGGCATCTTTCTCTCTTGAGCCGCTTTCTAAAAATAATTTTGAGGATCAGAGTTTAGATCCCCATCCCTCACATAAAAGCCCTGTGTGTATGCTGAAGAACCTATAATCCCAGAAGGTAGAAAGCAGGGATGGAGTGGGAGGATCCTTGGGACAGGCTGAGTCCTGAGTTTTGGGTTCAGTGTGGAGACCCCGCCTTGGCAAACTTGGAAACAAGTTAAGAAGTCAACTGACATCAACCTCTGGCCTCCATATGCACCCCCCACCCCACGCAAGTC